ATTGAATCCTAATTATATTTTTATTTCTGAATTCTTTCAAACATCAAACATTTTTTGATCATAGTTTTAGCCAGTTCCCGCTGGTGACCAGGTGTTCTTAAGCTTAAGACTATAAAAACAATAAGAAGGCTATGAAGACATGACCTTCAAAGTTGGACCTCTACGAAGTCTGCAAATAAAATGTTTAGGGCGTGTGGAGGCAAAAGCAAGAGTACAGTTAATCACGGCCTTCCAACCCTGTCCCGGCTTGCATAATCATCGCAAATCTTTATAAATTAGACATAGTCTAAAGATTCAAGTAGAAAATTGTTAGGTGTACTTTAGCTTCAAAAACCTTTGTGAACCTAAACCAGCATGTTAAAGAACCTAATGGTAGTTTTGAAAACAAATTATCAGCCATTATGTATCATCTACTTTCTCTTATTTACTTTCATTAAACACATTTCCAGTCATATTGACCAATTTTAAAATAAGTATACCTACATATCACAGAGTTTGCATTCCTTTTCAAAATGGTTTAAATTTAATACGTGCCAAAGTTATGAGTTTCCTTTTTTATTGTTCTCCCAAAACATTTCACCAGGGAAAAGTGCTACTTAATCTCCCACGTCTACTTCAAAGAGTGGTCATCAAAATTTAGGTTTCCTTTTGCTCTATATTTCAGACCACTATTTTTTTTTCAAGTTATTATTATGAAAAAGATAACTTGTCAAGAATATAAGAACCTAAATGTCTTTTCCCAGCAAGAGTTCATATTAGGTCATTTGACTGCTCGTTTCCCCCATCAAGACTCACCTACCAACATGAACTGGGGGTGGGGGCAGTGGGGAGAAAAGAGATAAAGAGAGGAGAGATGAGGAGAGGGGAGAGGAGAAGAGAGACTGGAAGTCCTTAGTTTTCTTACATTCTGAAGGTAAGACATTCACAGAAATATTCTTTCCATGGAATCTAACAGATTGTTTAAAATTAGAGGTAATAAAAATTGCTTCTAAGAAAAGTTTATCATGAAACATAATGAATAAAAGTCATTTGTTCATTCATTCATTTATTGAATTTATGAGTTTAATAAATATTAACCAAGTACCCACTATGCTTTAGTTATTGAAAGACAAAAAAATATTTGTAAATCCAGGCAGAGAAAGGAATCTAGTAAATCAATTACAATGGTGTACAAGGAATTCTACAAAAGAGGTGTGCCCATGTTGATGAAGGTGTTCAGGGGTCAGTCCTGAACCAGCTTGGGGAAGGTTTTGGGAAGAGATGATTTTTGAACTCAGTCTTGAATATTGGGTAGAAGTTTGCTATGTGAAGAGTAGGAGATAGGAATCGGGGCGGGGTGGGGGGGGGGGGGAATATAATTCCTGTAAGAATCTGCAGTGTGTCAACTGAAATACTGGTAGCTTTTCTTTGTTAAACTACTGTAAAGACATTTAATATGGCTGCAGAGAATGGGGAAGTGGTCATTTGTAACTGGACAAAGAAAGGAAATAGGTTACGGAAAGCCCTGTATATTATACAGAGGAGTTCGGATTTTATCCAACCAGAAAAAAAAATAAATAGATGTGAAACCACTGAAGATTTTTACCATATTTGTCTTTCAGAAAGAACATTCTGGGGAAACACGTGAAGGCTGAATTAGAGATAGACAAGAGACGAGATTTTTGTTGAGGCAAGAAATGAGAAGACCGAAAGCACAGGTGAAAATAGAAGAGAGAAGTTACGAGATATTTTGAACCAGAGAACAGATGGATGTAGGTCGTGAGGAAGAAAAGTGTCTACAGCGTTTTCTGAATCTGCCACCACTTTGCGTTTTTGGTAGAGGAAACCGATGTTAAGTATGATACTCCAACAAATTCACAAAATCAATGATAGATAAATCCAATCATTAAAACTCAAACCCCCAAGTTTTTTTTTAAAAAAGCAAAACATGACTTTGATTATGTAAACTATCAAATGTTTATTTAATTTCCATTAAAGTGTTTTCAAGTAAAAATATGTACAAAAATATATATACAAAGGTTGAAGCAACTAGAAGCATGACAGGCATACATACATAAATACAATTGAAATTAAATTCAATGCAAAATGGAGTGACATCATATTGCACCAAAATTTATTCAATACAAAAGCACACGCATCAACAGTTTCCATCAGATGGAAGCACACTTATTTCATAGCATCTTACCACTTACACAAATAGCCATAAACACCATCTGGCAGTGTGACTGCTGCACCAGAACTATCCCCGGAGGGAAAGCATTAAGCTGTAGACAAATCCATTTTATCTTACATATCACATGCTGGTATAGGCATCAGGGCCAGAGAACCCTAAGAAACACAACACAATCCACAAACCAAAGTCCCTTTGCACCATTTATATTTTCATAGTTAATTATCTTGTTGTTACGTGCCGTCAAGTCTGCTTGTCATCTTAGTACTCCTGATATGGTTGGAATGTAGATGCAGAAAAGCAATTTTGCTCTTTAATAATTTATCAATATGACAGTGTGTAAAATTTGTATAAAATATGCACAATCCCCTTTACCAAGTTTCATTATCACAATGCCAGAGTGAAGAAACCACACCACAGATGAGGACCATTGAGGATACTGAGGCTCACTCTTCCTCAACTGGATTTCCCACTTCCTGTATTTTAGAGCACCAGGCCAAACCCACCATTCCCCTCGCCCCCCAGTTAGGGGAATGGTACAAGGTCATGACAAATGCATTCCAGATCCAAGTGAAGGGATATAGCTGGTCACAGGTCAAAGAGAAAGCTGCCAGCACAACCCTCTAGAGTAATCTGACCACTACTTTCCCAGTGGGCTAAACTGATTCCATTGGTGCAAATGATTGATGCTTGCCCTAGACTATAAAAGGCATTTAAATACATTCATATTCATATATAGTACCTAATAATATGTTAATATGAACATACCAACACATATGTGGATTTTTCTACCCCTTGATAATTGAAAAAGAAGTTACTGCTACTAGGTCAAATTTTAACACAAAGCTCACTAAACACATTTTTATAAAGTAAATACAGATATACATACAACAGAAAGACACGAAAGATTCATCATGAGATGAATTCTGAGTCAAAAACTAAAAACCATTTCTACCAGTGCATCACTACCATCTAATTCACTCTATGATAAGTAAAAACCAAGCTGTATGAAATCTAGTCAAATCTTTGTCAGAAGAGTAGGACAAACTAAGTTCGCCAAGCATTCAGTACAAGAGGCCATTTGTCTTACTTTTTCTGACTTGTGCTTATTATAAAACCACAAGTAGCCAAGTTTTAGCGTGAGTAAAACAGAACTACATGTTTGTTCATCAGTTTGGTGTAGAGAGAAGACACTGTATTTCAATGGTACTAAGCAATGCACTCAACACATCTGATTCTTACGTTCACAAAATCCTCAAAATGTTGAGAGGTACCAGTGAAACGCATTACCGTTGGCAGCAATCCATCTACTAAGAGATAAACATTTGGGGCCAATGCCAATGATTATTTTGAACACAGGCATTAGCCTCAAATATCCTAAAAGAGTAAAGTGATATGCCACTGTCTGAACATGGATAATGTCAAGAGAAAAACCCAGTTTTCAAAATGTAAGTATCACTCATTTAGTTCCAGAGTTACAGCAGTAGTAATAACATTCCCAAAGGAAAACTATTAGGTAAAAAATTTCTTCAAGGAGAGGATCAAAATAATCCCAGACTACTTAATATTTGGGGAGGATTCTTGTGGTTTGTGTTATAACCGTAGCTATATAAATTGGTTTTTGTCTCCAGAACAATTCAAAAGTAATATGTATGTACTAATGTGAAACCGTTAATAGAGTAGCCCCCTCTTAGCTGAGGTTTCACTTTCTGTGGTTTCAGTTACCCACAGACAACTGCCCTCCAAAAATATTAAACGGAAAATTCCAGAGATAAACAATTCATAAGTTTTAACTTGTGCGCCATTCTGAATAGTATAATGAAATCCCAAGTGGTCCTGCCTTGTCCTGCCCGGGATACGAATCATCCCTTTGTCCAGTGTATCCATGCTGTATATGCTACCCACCTCTTAGTCACTTAGTAGCCATCTCAGTTATCAGACCGACTGTCGTGGTTTCGCAGTGCTTGTGTTCAAGTAACCCTTAGTTTACTTAATAATGGCCCCAAAGCACAAGAGTAATAATGCTGGCATTTTGGATATGCCAAAGAGAAGCTGTAAAGTGCTTGCTTTAAGTGAATGGTGAAAGTTCTTGATTTAATAAGGAAAGAAGAAAATCGTATACTGAGGTTGCTACGATCTATGGTTAACTTTTATTACAGTATATTGTTATAATTGTTCTTTTTTATTATTAGTTACTGTTGTTAACCTCTTACTGTGCCTAATTTATAAATTAAACTTGATCATAGGTATGTACGTATGGGAAAATACATAGTATAAATAGGGTTCAGTACTATCCCCGGGTTCAGGCATCCACTAGGGGTCTTGGAAGGTATCCCCCATGGATAAGAGGGGACAACTGCATACACAGTAGTTTGGTGTAGATCTTTTCTATTCTAAGCATACATTCATTTGAAACAATGTGTTTTATTTCTCCAAAGTATTTTTCTACTTTATCGGAATATTCTTTACATTACATTAGTCAGTAAATGGAAATTTGGAACGAGGGAGGAATGGTAGGGAAAAAAAAATTCAGAAATCTTTTGAAATATGAAATTCAAACCTAGAACCAGGGAACCACATTGCATTGCCTCCCAGTGAGATGCAAATGTGCTTTGGAGCACGTGCTGAAGAATGTCAATTAGTAGGAATAAGTGAGGTCTAACTTCACAAGCCTCATTTAAGTCAGGCCACTCACCACCCAACCAATTATACAGCTGTAACAACCAAAGGCCTAATATGTTTTCCCACAAGAAGCTATGCAAAAATACCCTGATGCACAAGGTGCTCAAAATGCAGACACTGCTACAAAAGAGATAACTGTGTGTTAGTCTTTTTTTTTCCCTCTAGCTGTGAGCCTTTAGAGGCTTCAACCAGAGGTAATAAGGGCTCAGCAACCAAGTCTTCTAACCAATAAATTAATTCACTTTCTCTAGTCATACCTTGTAAAAAAAAAAAAAATCAGTAGTGTATACGTTGAGGGAAAAAAGTATGCTCACTTTCAAACCAGTGCATCCATCTGTATGGCTCTCAGATGCGTAATGCTCCATTTTCTTGAGAGAATTCTTATCTATAAAACTGTTAAGACAGTTATTGAAACTATAAATGTACCTTGGATCCAAGTCGCTGAAATACACACATGTAACAGACAACTATTTGGAGACAGTAACCATGCTCCAGCGATATTTTAAAGCCAATTCTAACAAAGATTGGGGGGCAGGGACTCCAAGAAAGGAAACCTAAGTGGTAGTTTCGCACTAATACCCAGGTAATTGTATAAACTCAAATTAAGACACACTCTTATCTTGGGGGAAGGGGGTGTCAAAAAAAAAAAAACAAAGGGAATCATTGATTCATTCAAAGAAAACAGAAATTGCTCAAAAAGATCGTTAATATCCTTGTGAGGTTGTAAAGAAGGATGATATGGCTCACAACATATGGAAAACTGCTGAATTTTCTGTGAGACCATGATTTACACCTTTGTGAATTTGTATCAGATCTAAAAATAGACCAAGCATTTATTGTTAGACACCAACTAATTTGAAAATGCAACAAAAAGAAGAAATAATTATCTCCAAAACTTGGCTGTTAAAATATCCTTTTAAGTACAGTACTAATACTACCGAGAGGTTATACTTTTAGGTATTTTATATATCGCGATAGATTGAAAATACTGTTTATGAGAAAATTAACTTAAAATACATTTATAGGTAACAATTCTTTTACCTTTATATAAACAATGTAAACAGAAGCTGTCAGGATGACTCATTATCTATTCTAATTTATATCCACCACCAGCTTCTTGTCAGGTATACAACGCCACACTTTAATTCCTAACTTCGAATGGTTAGGAGGGTAAAATCGAACTCTGTCCACATTATCAGCACCAACACATAGCCCATAGGATAAAATGACGCAAGATTATATTTAAGTAAAACCAGATTTCTTGACTAATCTGCATCCAAATCCCAAATCTATTTCTTTCCAAACTAAAAAAAAGAGCTACAATTAAAATCCCATTGTTTTTTCTAACATTCAGAACTGACACAAAATATACATAAAAGGTGAAATTTTCTCCTTATATATCACATAATATTTATGAGAAAGCCGCTTAAAGTTATATATAGATATTTCAGTTACCTCACAATTTCATTATTTAAAAATATATCCTACAAAAAGCTCATGCTTATTTCTAATAGAAGAAGTAATGGGAGTTATTTTACCTTACGCACAGGGACAATTACAGATTTCATAGGGCCAGAAGTATAGATAATTTTGCTGATCTTCATCAAGAAAACTAATACAAAATTCCTAATGCAAAATTAGGTACAGGACCTTGGAAGAGGCATGTCTAAGTGAGGGGCACTGATGCTTACATTTCTTTAGCTTCTCAGGATATCCACCTACGTGCAGCAGACAATGAATTTTTAACATTTCTCTGACTATATTGCATAATAAATTACACCCAAATATTATTGCCTCCCATCCCCTACTACTTTCCATTTCCTGCTACCCTGACCTTCAGTTTTTTATCTTTTCATAACCCGTACTTCAATTACAAGAAATCAACTATATGTCAAAGATGCTCCCTTTCTTTGTTAGCATTACATTCATCTGTAAATAGAGATAAAATAATGAGTTCCCAGAAGACTGATTACAGGTCATGAAGAATTCTGTTGAGTTATGTAATTATACTCATGTTAACCATCTGTTGATAGATCAAACAGCAATTGGGGAAATAATTTTACCGGACACAGAAGACAATCTGGAAATTTGTTTCAACATGCATATTTTAGTGCTAGAGAAACTGCCATGCATTGCGAACGTAACCTAATAATCTATCCTAATTTTGTGCCAGCAGGAGTGAGGGAGATACAGTACAAGCACATATGTATATGTGTGCGTGCATACACCTAACATTTATGTGTGGTACTGGAGTCAGCCATCTTTTCTAGGACAACTCTTTAATCTCCTGAAGAAAGACAAGAACAGGGTCTACTTTCCCCGCTGACCAAGTCACCATTTATAACAGTCCAGTTTTCTTCATTTGATCAAAGAAAAATCTTAGGAAGATAATCTAATATTTTAAAAATGGATCAAAAATATTTCTGAAATATTCATAATTGTGGAAGGAGAATCATTCCATTTTTTAAACCAGATTGTTTTAGCTTTGGAAGTTTTTTACTAGATCTGTTTAATTCATAATTAAATAGTTGAGATTCTATGTACCCAAAAAGCAGAACACTTGAAAATAGTATTCTAGTTGTCTTACACCGTATTAGCATTTTTATTTTGTGTTATAATCAACTCTCAATATGTATATAACCATTTGAATATGCACACTATTACAAGTATATCACATGTAATAATTTATATATATAATGCCATATATATAAAATTCTAAATATATGAGAAAAAATTTTACTTAGTATAAAATACACGTATATATAAAAGTGTGCAGGAGAGATTTAGAACTAGAATCTGCTTGGCATGACACCATTTTGAATAAAAACTAAGCATTGATTCCCTGATTACAGAAACCCTGTGTCTTGTCATGATCTGTCCTAAAAATAAGTTGAAATACAACTTAATCTTCATCACTTTTTAAAAAATTACCAACTGACTCTCTCTCTGGTTAAAATGACATTACAATGGCTTTAGAAATTTAACAATGCAAAAATCATTTTTGAAATTGATGGAAAGAATAATGAATATGTATTCTAGTTATCTTGTACAACAACATATTTAAAGAGAAATTAGAACCCAAAATAAGCAAACACAATGAGGAAACTTATCTACCACTATTGATATGAGCACATTAATCTCAGGAATAATCAAGAACTACACAAACCTCTTCATGAGACTTTACCTTTTTTTTTATTAGGCGAGAAAAAAGGAGTTTGCTGGTTGAGATTGTATAGACCTAGACTGTAAAAAATAGGAAAATAAAGGAAATCTACTTCTGCCTCTAGGAACAATATAGTGGGGAAAGATGTAGACAAATGGATATAGGTATTAAAGATTCCAGACGAAATTTTAAAACTCTATGGTAACAGAAAAAGTAAGGAACTTTTATTAATTCACTTAAAGACCCAAACACTAGGTTTGGCTGGAAAGATGTCAATATTGGATATATATTAAATGTTTATCAAAAGAAAAAATTGAAATGAATGAATTGGAATTGCCTCAAATTATAAATAATCATTTCTACTTTGGTCAAATATCTATGAACTCTACATCTGCTCTTAATGATTTTAATCAGTGTAATTCTTTCAAAATTTCTTATTTTAAAATCGACAAATATTAAAGGGTGAAACATACTCCGGCCATAACTATTTAATCTTAGCTGTATGTAAATAATAATTTACAAATTTCACCATTATCTTATTTTCATTTGAAAATTTCACAATATTTTCGAATCCTAGCATAACAACACCTGTCTGAATGCACACCATCACGCACAGTTTCTCCTCCTTTCAATGAATTTGTTATCAGTTATCTCTTTTGCAAGTCAAATGGTAGTTAAGGTGAAAAAATTACTGACAAAGCCTAGATATAGAAGTGGAAAATTTTTAGAAACATCGGTTGTAAATCTTATTTAGCAGTGACATTTCCTCCTCAATTTTTATGTAAATATATGCCTTTTCCTAATTGATCTGGACAGTTTTATCCAAAGAGATATTTTAACAGAATATAAAATGTATAAAGAAAATGTACAAACTGTCAAAACTCATCACCATGTAAAAATAGCTATGAATAAGAAAAATTGTTCAGAATTACTAACACTGCATATAGATTTGATTGTAGGGTTGAACATAATATTTTGGGCATTTTTTCTTGGTGATTTCTGTGTTATGTTGATATTGCAATTTGAAGATTTAAAAATACACATATTTAGATACATTTTTCAAGGGTTAAACTATTAGTGAAACAAGTTACTGTGCTTAAGAGGTTGTAACACCAAACTGAGTATTGCTTTGCTCTAAGAAAGGTGCCATATCCTTTCCTGATCAAATGGACTACCATGAAAATAAAATGGCACATAACCATGGGACTTCCTGATAATGAGTTAAAAAATCTTAGCATAATAAATTCTCAAGGATTTTTACTTAAATACAATTCCTGGATTTGTCTCATAAACAATAGCCCCTAGAAGCTCTTCTTTAATACATTCATTAAAATTAGGCATATCCCCTCTGTCCTTTGTTCAAAATGCTCTGGGTATAGTCCATTAAAAGATGAGTGGTGTTTTACTTGGTATCTAAAGGGAAGCAATGCAATGCCAATGGAAAATAAATTTCATTCTTTCCTCTGTCCATAAGGATGACATATGATTTTTTTTTTCCAGAAAAGTAGAAAACACTTTCACAGTATGGTCATCTACAGTATGTAAAAATAGTTTTTACAAAACCCACATATACAGAAAACATCTCAGTCATCAATTTGAAGGTTCTTAGCCGTTATAAGATAGGTTATAGAAAAAGACCACTAAAGCAATTGTTCATTCCGCAGTCTTTTTCCCTAACCTCAACAGGTAGGTATCAAGAACTAAACAACCATGAGAACTCATGGTATAACTGCATATCAGCTTTCTACACCTACATGGAGTTGTAACTAAAATTCTTAGAAACCAGTTTGAACATACAAAAAGATATGAATGGAAATAACCGATTCCTTTAGTCCATCACCAAAGTCGCAATCCTCTGGACTGTCATAAAATGAAGTGAAGATCCATATTTTGTTTCAGCCCTTTGGGAAGAAACAAGGGCCGGGACAGATCGCCAAGATTTCAAATATATTAATTCATAATTTATGACAGTCTTCTTCAGGTACAACTTCCAGTATTATTTGTAATGTTCTGGTTATTCTGTCTACAGGGAAATAAAGAAGAGAAATTAAAAATGCACAGAAGTCAGAAATGCACATAAACAGCAAAATGTGAATTATCTTGGGTTGAATACTGAAAACACACAACCGCCTATTTCACAGAGCACTTTCAAGAATTATTTACTTCATTAGAATCCTATCATGCTCAATTAATTTATTTGTCACTTCTGTAACTTCCCATGATGGCTTCTCGGCAAGAATATATTAATATTTTGTATTCAAATAAAGACTTTTATTCATGAACCAGGAGGCTGAAAATATTCTGAGACAAAAGGTCCAAGATTATAAATAAATGTTCAAAAATGCACTTCATACTCAGTTTAAAATCGGTTTGTTGTTTTTGCACTCATGAGATTATAACCAATTCCTTAGCAAAATCAGGAGAAGAATCAGAATGTAATTTCCAGTCTGAAACTTGTAGGGTTTTATTGAGCAAAATATCTTCTCTCTCAGGCCTCATTTGCCTCCTCTGTAGAATGAGGGACTTGGGAGTGACATCAGCAAGATGGAGAACTGGGAGGTCCCAATGCTTGTTTCCCCAGAAAAAAAACAAGAAGAACAATAAATAAACAGCTACAAACTGAGAAAAACAGCTCAGGGAAAACTCTAAACAACAAAGAAGCAGGAGCTAAAACCTAGTGGAGCTCAAAAATCATGGATGGCCACATAGACAAGTAACGGAAGCACTTTGCCAGCATCACCCCTTACCCCCGTTGGGAGCAGCTGGACATTGAGGGTAATCCCCTTGGAGGAAGTTCACCACGTGGGGAGAGGGAGAACAGGCACACCCCAGCAAGCCTCTCTATTGCGGCCGTTTGCAGCCTTTGCTCCAGAGGTCTCCCACAGTCTTCAGTGATGCTGATTCCAGCTGATGGAGCAGCCTGCAGTGCCCCAACTCTGCATCTAGTCCCAGATAGAGCTGTTGCTGAAGTGAGACTTACCCTCAAGGACCCTGGTTGTTGCTGTGTCTCCCTTCCTCTACTCTCAGGGATTGGAGACCACAGCACCTCATCATATAGGAGACCAGAGCCATCACTGCTCTTTGCCCAACTTGGCCCCAGGTGGAGGTTTTGTCCCATCATGACAAAGGCAGCCTCCCCTGCCTGAGCCTTGTCCTCAGGGTCCCAAGTCACACTATGGCTGCCATTATTGGGGCTATGCTGCTGCTACCCTGAGCCCCACCCAACACATCAGGTCAAGACTGAACTGTCGTTGCTGAGATAGGCTCTCACTGCCCTGAGCCTCACCCCCTGGGTACCAGGTAGCAGCTCTGACTCATCGTTGCCAGGGATGTTGCCACTACCATGAACCCCACTCCTGTGGTAGGTAGAGGCTCAGACCCATCATTGCTGGGACCAAGCTGCCACTCTCCTGAACCCTATACCCTGGCTCCTGGGTTTTAGCTCTGAACTGTCATTGCCTAGGTCATGCTGTCACAGCTCTGCACCCAATTCTCTGGGCCCTTACACATGGCTTTAACAGAACACCACCAAAGTTGTGCTATTGCTATCCTGTGAGCAACCCCCAGGGGCCAGACCTGAGACTTTCAGCCACCATCCGAAGGCTGTACTACTACTGCACTCTGCCCCCTAGGCCCAAGCCACCACTGCACCTTGTCATCCCAGTGCCCTTGCCACGACTGCATTCCTTCCCACCAGCAGGAGTCATGATGGTGAGCCCTTGAGATGCAGGTACCAGTTCCACGGGATGTCTGCACATGCCCATACACTAGACACCAGTACTACAGCCACAGCAAGCTCATCTGTGCTCAGTAGCCAGGCTCTGTGGTCGTTCCATGTGTATCTGATCCTAGGACCCTGGTTCCAATACTACTCTGAGGGCTCTGAGTGTCAGCATGCTACACCAAGCTCCAAGAAGTTCTCCTCAGCTAGAACTTCCTCCCATGGGTAAAAAAAAAAGGGGGGGTGCAGGGGGACAGGGAACAGTAAGACTTCAGCATAATTAGCCTCCAAAGATCCCAATAGCCCTACCTGCCACTGCCACCTGCAGGTACCATAGCCACAGATGACCCCTACAATCAACCTCAGCCAACAAAGAGGCACAGAGACTACACCACTGTGCCTTCACAGGAACCACAGACATTGCATCTTACCCAGTCAGTGCTCTTGCTGCCAGCTCCAGGTGCAAATCCTTCCCTACTGAGGCCAGTCCGAAAAGACTGGAAGAGGTGACTGTACCCTCAAATGCACAGACATCAATACGAACCCATCAGAAGCCTTAAAAAGCAAGGAAACATGACACCACAAAAGGAACACAATAAGCTCTAGTAACTGACCCCAAAGAAATAGAGTGCCATGAGTTATCCAAAAAAGAATTCAAAATAATGATTTTAAGAAAGCTAGGCAAGATTCAAGAGAACACAGATAGACAAATCAATAAACTCAAGAAACAATAAATGAACAAAATGAGAAATTCAACAAAGAAATAGAAATCATAAAAAAGAACTAAACAGAAATCCTGGAAATGAAGAAAACCATGAATGAAATGAAAGAAGCAATAGGCTCAATCAGGCAGAAGAAAAAAATCTGTGAGCTTGAAGACAGATCTCTAGACATTATCCTGTCAGAGGAGAATAAAGAAATTAGAATAAAAAAGAGTGACTAAAGCCTACATGAATTGTGGGACACAATCAAAAGAAACAATATCCACAATGCAGGAGTCCCAGAGGTAGAAGAGAGGGACAGAAATCTTATTTAAAAAATCATGGCTGAAAACTTCTCAAATGTGGGGAGAGGTATAGACAACTAGGCACAGGAAGCTCAAAGATCCCCAAACAGATTCAACCCAAAGTGATCTTCACTGAGACACATTACAATCAAGCTCTCAAAAATCAAAGACAAAGAGAGAATCTTGAAAGCAGCAAGAGAACACATACAAGGGAATCATGCTAAGGCTGTCAGCAGATTTCTCAGCAGGAACCTTGCAGGCCAGGAGAGAATGGGGCAATATATTCAAAGTACTCAGAGAAAAAAAACTGCCATCAATGAATAATATTTTACCCATAAACACAGTCATTCAGAAATGAAGGAGAGATAAAGTCTTTCCCTGACAAACAAAAGCTGAGGGAATTTATAACAAACAGATTTGCTCTACAAGAAATGCTAAAGTGAGTTCTTGAAGCTGAAACAAAAAGATGCTAATCAGGAATATGAAAATGTGAAAGTTTAAAATTCACTTATAAAGGTGAATATATATTCAAAATACTCTCATAGTGCAATGTGGTTTATAAATTACATTGAAATCTACCATATAGGTCAAGAAAATAGCTATAGTTACAACGGCATATAACATAAAAAGATGAAAATTGGGACATCAACATAAATTGTGGGAGAAGGGTAAGTAAATGGGTAAAACTTTATTATGCAACTGAATTTAAGTTTTTATTAGCTTAAAAATGATGGTTATGACTATAAGATGTATTATGAAAACATGTAATAGATACACAAATATAAAGAGAAAAGAATCAAAGCAAACCACTACAAAAAAAATCATCAACTCACAAAGAAAGACAATAAGAAAGGAAGAAAGGAACTAAGAAACTACAAAACAATCAGAAAGCAATTAACAAAACAGCAATAGTAAGTCTTTATTGATCACTTACTTTAAGTGTACAGTCATGCATCCCTTAACGACTGGGATACATTCTGAGAAATGCATCATTACATGATTCTGTCATTGTGCAAACATCATAGAGTGTACTTATATAAACCTAGATGGTGTAGCCTACTATACACCAAGGCTATATGGTACTAATCTTATGTGACCACTGTCATATATGTGGTCCATTGCTGACCAAAACATCATTCTGCAGTACATGACTGTAAATGGTTTAAATTCTCCAATTAAAAGATAGTGGCCGAACGGATTTAAAACAACAAGACTCATCTGTATACTTCCTGCAAGATACTCACTTAAGCATTAAGGACACTCATAGGCCAAAAGTGAAGAGATGGAAAAAGATATTTCAAGCAAATGGAAACCAAAGGAGAGCAGGGGTAGCTATACTTATATCAGACAAAATAGACTTTAAGTCAACAACTGTAACAAGAGACAAAGAAGGTCACTATATAATGACAAAGAAGTCAAGTCATTAGGAGGATATAACAATTGTAAACATATACGTGCCCCATATTGGAGCACCTAAATATATTAAACATTTTTTATTATCATTTTTTATTTTTTTATTGAGGTAACTTTGGTTTATAACATCATATAAATTTCAGGTGTACGTCATTATATTTTAATTTCTGTATAGACTACATCATGTTCTCCACCCTAAGACTAATTATCATCCACAACTGTACATATGTGCCCTGTTACCCCGTTCACACTTCCCCCTCCCTACCTTCCCCTCTCATAACCACAATCTAATACAGATCTGAAGGGATAAATAGACAGCAATGCAATAATGGTAGGGGACGTCAATACCCCACTTTCACCAATGGATCGATCATGCAGAGAGAAAATCAATAAAGGAAATATTGGAATTGAATGACACTTTAGACCAAATGGATCTACAGAACATGCCATCCAACAGCAGGAGAATACAGATTCTCAAGTGCACACAGAACATTCTCCAGTCTAGAGCATGTGATAGGTTACAAAACATGTCTTAGCTAATTTAAAAAGATTGAAATCATACCAACTACCTTTTCCAACCACAATGGTATGAAATTAGAAATAAGTGACAGGAGGAAAGCTGGAATATATGTGGAGATTAAACTAAATGCTCCTAAACAATCAATGGGTCAATGAAGAAATCAAAAGGGTAATCAAGAAATCTATTGAAACAAATGAAAATGCAAGGACAACATATCAAAGCCTATGGGATACTGCAAAAGCAGTTCTAAGAGGGAAGTTTATAGTAATAAATGCCCACATTAAGAAACAAGAAAGATCTCAAATAAACAACCTGACTTTACATCTCAAGGAACTAGACAAAGAAGAAAAAACTAAGCCCAAA